GTCCAACGGGGTGAACACCTCAGCTGGTACCTGGCACACATGTTCCATCGTTACCACACAAATCAGGGATCAGATGAGGCCCTTACAGATGGCCCGGGGCAAGCAGGACCATTTGAAGTGATAATTCAGAGCCTGTTTTCTACCTGCCATACCCAGGTGCAGTTGAACTTTGTACTTGGCCCTAAATGTGTACACGTGAGGCTGTGTATACATTCATGTGGAGCTGGGGCAGCTGCGGGGAGGGTGTGGGCTGGCTTACCATCTTGCTGGGGTCATAGACATTTGTGCTGTGTCCTGAGGGATGACTGGGAGGTGCCAGATGTGGAGGAGGAAAGGCGTTTGGCATTGGGGGTTGTGTTGGAGCAGGTCTGTTCTGGGAAAGTGTGGAGTTTGGGACACTGGTTGATTAGGAAGCTGGAAACTAGATTGGATTCAGTGAGTGAGGGTCTTGCTCATAAACGTGCTTTCAATGGCAGTGACCTCATCAGATTGATTTAAATATAGCTCTGCTGGTAAGATGGAAGCTGAATCCCAGAGGCAGAGAGAATCAAGGCCGAGAAACGCAAGGGAGGAGACGCGGGATTGAATGGAGGCGGCCCGGGCCAGGAGGTGTCCTCTGCCAGCGTCCTCAGCAGATGTGTGCCGAGCACCTGCTGGGCCCGAAGTGGGAATACAGAGGTGGATAAAACACAGACAGGCCCCAGGCGGTCAGGAAAATAAATTGCCTTTGGGAGCTGGTTACCCAGTACCCAGCGGCGGGAGGCTGAAGGACAAAAGCTAGTACTGAAGTTGCAGAGAGATGAGTAACTGCAGAAAGCAACTGTCAGCCCTCAGGGCTGGGAGAGCCGGCTGGAGTGAGAAGGAGCCAGGGGAACCGCAGCTCCCTCCTCCCACCGCCGGCCTTCAGGCTCCCTCTGTAGGCGCCCCCTGTAGGCAGAAGCTGACATGCAGCCCTGCAAGGAAGCCTGGGAAATGTAGTCCGCGGACTTCCAGACTCAGCCTGCTGCAAGCATTCCTGGGAGATGTAGTCCGCAGACTTCCAGCCCCAGCCTCCAGAGCAGAGGACAGACCTGAGGACCTTGGGCTGCCAGCAAGTCATGCCCTCCTTAAACAGACACTGATGGCGGGGAAAAGAAGGAAGAGGGCAAGCTGACTTGCAGACTTCTTGTAGGGCGAGCCAAGGCTGGGGTGTTTCCCTGAAGGTGGGGACATCATGCCCCTGGAAGGGTAGTCTGGAGCTGGCAGCCGGTGCAGAGCCTGCCCTTTAGCCTTTACAGAGGTTAAAGCCTCAGGTGTGTGGCCGTGTCTTCTCATGTGAACCTGCTGATAGGTTCATTTGGGGCTCCTCGATGTCCTGAACGTGCTTGTTCTCTTTCCAGGTGGAATTCTGCCTTTCACAGGAAAGCGTCAGACACCTAGATGCATTTCATTTTACTTGAATATGTTACTGATTTTTTCCTGATTTCTGATAGAATCGAATTCAGAATATTTACTTATTCAGAATATTTACTTATTAGACCTCAAGGACATTTGCCATCATCCTAGCTGCTTAGCTATGTGTGGGGGGCATCAGGACTAAGCTTTCCCAGGCAAAGCATGAAAGACACCCATTCGGCCTGCTGGTCACTATGGATTCACCTCTGTTTAAACACCGCTGTGGGCCACACCAGGTGGAAAGGCAAGGAGCATGCTCTGTATGTCAGGAAGATCTGAGGGACCCATTCTTAGTCTGATGTGTTACTTGTTTAGATGTGACCACCATCCCTTCCCCATCAACCCAGAGCACAGTGATTTCACAACATTGTAACCATGTTCAGAATAGCGACCTTACCCATACTAGTGCAAAAGTGCTCTCACATCCTGGCCTCTCACAACTGCAGCCCAGCCCACCCCTGCAGCCAGAAAGCACTTCCCATCAAGCAGCTCCAATCCCCCTACTTCCAGGCTCCAGCACTCTCACTGGCTCCCTAGTGCCTCAGGAAATAAAAATTGACATCAGGATACTGTAGATCTTTTTTGTTTTGAAACTATTCCCCAGGCTTGAGTGTCATGGCTTTAGCCTACCTCACAGCAACCTCAAACTCTTGGGTTCAAGTGATCCTTCTGCCTCAGCCTCCCAAGTATCTAGGACTACAAGTGCTTGCCACAACATCTGGCTAATTTTTCTATTTTTGGTAGAGAAAGGGTCTCACTTTGGGTCAGACTGGTCTTAAACTCCTAAGCTCAAGGGCTCCTCCTACCTCAGCCTCCCTGAGTGCTAGGATTACAAGTATGAGTCCCCAAACCCACCAGGCCTATTTGCTTTACTTAAACAGGACTGGCTCACCTGTTCTTGAGCCTGGGCACCTTGCTGCAAGCCCACATGTTGGAATCCTGCCAATCATTCAAGGCCCTTTGGATGTCACCTTCTTCATGAGCCCTTTGGGGACTCCAGTTTCCCCAGTGCTTGGATCCTTCACTGTTGTCTAATGGAGCTGTCCTTCTTGACCATGTGGAGGGGAGGGCGGGGTTCTTGTCTTGCTGGCCCACATTCCTCTTCTTCCGGGGGGAAGAGAAGCAGTTACTGGTAGTAATTCAGAAATGGAAAATTGGGCAAAGACAGAGTTCATTTTGCTTAAGTGATTTTCACTTCACATTGCTGAAGCAGCATCTCAGTGCTTAAGGTTGCCCCACGGAATATTCTAGAACTCACAAAGGTGTGTCTTTTTTTTCCTCACTCATACTTTATGAAGTATGTGAATCCTACAGAACCACAAAATATTTATAATATTGTGCATCCATAGGGCCCATAGTGAAAGATTTGAGATATGTTGGATTAAAGGATTAAATAGTTAAATGAGTAATTCATCGCAGGCCTTCTCAGAGCCTTTAACACACTAATGAACAGTGTAGGGCTCTAAAAGGAGGTATGTGGCATTTCCCGCATGTATTTTATTGCAGGAATTTCAGGGGCAGGGCAAGACATCTTGAGAGTCTGATAATTTCTGTGAATACACTTGGGGAGGCACTTCTTAAACTGTGGACCTCGGGCACCTTCACCAGCACTCCATCTCTAAGTAGTGCAGTCAGAGGAGCTGGCCTTGGCAGTGGGGAGAGCGTTAAAAACTTCCTGGACTGGACTGTATTTTTCCTTTAAAAAAAAAAAAAAAGAGGCGTTCTGTATAACGGCATGGGCAAAAGCGTAATGAGGCTTCCAAGGCGAGGCGTTCCTTGAGGAATCGTCATTGTAAAGTGTGTGTTTAGCTGTCATGGCTTGACAGTTTAAATTACAGACATTCTGCACTGATCATTAAAGCTTACGTATAATTGGCTTAATTAGACACAAACCACACAAGATGTCCCAGATAATGCTGATTGTCTCTGTTTTCTAGTTCCTCCCGCAGAGGACACATCCTGCCAATGCCACCTGCGTGACCCCCCACGGCACTATCCTGCACCAGACCCTGGATTTTGACGAGTTCATCCCCCCCCTCCCGCCGCCACCCTATTACCCACCAGAGTACACCTGTACGCCCTCCACCGAGGCCCACAGGTTGGTCTCCCGTGGATGCTGCATCTTAGAAACAGTCACTGGGAGGTGGATAGTGGAGAGACCTGCTCTCTTTCAGGGGAGGGTTGAGTAGAACCAGGAGCCAGCCCTGGCCAGTGTGCTGTGTCAAAGAACAGAGAAGGCACAGAGAATGCTCCATGGCTAAGCATGGCTCCACTCTCTGGGTTCTTGTCTTGGAGCCATGCTTAGCCATGGAGCATTTCTGACGGTATCTCTGCAGGGTAGCCCGTGCAAACCTGCGGGCAGACAAGAGCAGCTCCACTAAGTTCTGGTGATGCGCAGAGCTACCAGCATTGCATCATTCATAGAAGATGGAAAGTTTAATTAAAGATTTAAGTAGCTGTATGATTACTTTAATTTTAATGGACACGGCCATAGAGTTTATTGAAAATGTTGATGTCTCTCCAGTAAAAATCAGGAGTGAAAACTGCCTGCTGAATTGGCTTTTATTCTTAACCATGGCAAGTATGGGATGAGGGACACCCTGGCAGTCCACGTTCTGACTGTGGTGACAGAGATGTCGGCCACTCAGGTCCCTTCCTCAGGAAGTGGCGATGTGACGGTTCTGCCTTTTCAGGGGCCTCCATCTGGACTTCGCTGCGTCTCCATTCAGCACTTTGTATGATGCGGCCATCAACAGCCCCGGCCTCCTCTACCCTGCCGAGCTCCCCCCACCATATGAGGCAGTAGTGGGCCAGCCCCCTGCCGGCCAGGTGAGGCCCGGGCCCCAGACAGTGCCAGTTCCTGTGAAAGTGATGGGGTGCCTTTCCCACTTTCCCTAGAGCTGGTTGTGTAGTTTGCCTCCGTAAGAGCCCCGGACCCTGGGCTTTCAGCAAGCCTATGAGATGCTGGTCTCATTAGCCCCACACTATACTCAAGGCATTGGGTTCAGAGAACAGAGCTTGCAGAGACCCAGCCAGCCCTGGGAGAGCCCTGGGAGTGCAGTGTGTGTGCTGTTCCCCTTTGGCCACCTTACTACAGCCGTGTGTCACCACTCAGCTGTCTGAGCTTGGTGCCAGTCAGTATGTCTGAGGAAGAAGGAACTGGGATGGCTTCTAACCCATGAGCAGAACCCCCAGCAGTCGGGGGACCTTAGCCTGTGTTGACAACATGCTGGTATCTCCGTCTACTGGGGAGGTGACACAACTCTTCTGGCTCCTGGGTCCTGTTTAAGTCCAGGAGGCTCCAGGCCAGGAAAGTGCCTCAGCTGTCAGGGGTTTCAGCCCTCTCTAAGCCAGGTACGCTGGGCACTCTCAGTGCCTCTCAGTGCCCCACACATAACAGGCTCTCAGAAAGGTCCATGGAGCCTTAGTTTCCTCATGTGCTAAACAGGGATCATGAGATGATCCAAGTGCCGAGCTCATGAGATGAAACAGGGCATTGTCTGTAATGGACCCAACTCAGGACTGAAGACATAGTAAGTTCTGAACTCAGCAAGAGCCAGTCACGTTTTGGTAGGTATTATTTTCATTTTTGTTGTTGTTGCAATTGCTGACATTACTGGGTATGAAAGGATGCTAGCCAGGGCAGAGAGGTGGGAACCCTCAGAAAGTTCATTGGCAGCTTAATGCAGGACGGTGGTCAGGGGGATCCCAGGGCTCCTGGGTTAGGGCACAGGTAGGGACACAGCAGAGAGCAGGAGCACAGAGGAGCTGGGGAAGGGGGCAGTGCCGAGGCAGTTCTGGGCTCTGGGCACCGAGCAGAGGAGTGGGCACTCAGGACTACACTTCTTTGGACGTCTCAGCAGCCATGGAGCCCCCAGCTGGTATCTCTGCCCCAGCCCCTGTCCAGGCAGAGGCACCTGCTTTCCCTACTGACTCCCACATATGTAAGTCATCTGGGCACAGGGCCAGACCTTCTGAGGTCACCTCCAAGCACTCATCTCTGCACCTTTGAGACTCTGAACGCCCACGTGGCAGCACAGTCCTTTTTCCAGCCACTGACTGAGGTGGGCTTGACGGTGGGGGACCTCTGTGGGTGGAGAAGTAGTTTCCATGTTGTAAGCACAGGCTCACAAGTCCTTGGAGACCATCACAAGGAGAGGAGGGTCACCTTTTGCAGGCTGGGTGGTCTTAGGACAGGCAGAGATGTCTTGTGCCCGGTGGAAACGTGGGCAGCATGTTCAGACACTGTGAGCCTTAACTCACCGCAGGCGGGAGTATGTGCCATAGGGACCCTCTAGGGTGGCTTCTAAGGGGCCAGTGAGGCCTTCCACCTGCCCAGCGAGGCCCGGCCACCCTCGAATGAGCAGACAGTACTGAGAGCCCACCTTTGCATCTGCTCTCACCCTGGACTGATGGCAGCCCCCCAGGGGTCCCCTAGGCCAGGGGCCCTGTCCGCAAGAGACACAGATGTGTGGGAGCTGCCTGTAAGGAAGGACCTCATAATCACTAGGGGCACCGCGTGGCCCTGAAATCTCACCCTAAGCCTGCAGTGATGGAGGCATTCTTAGATGAGTTTTACTGAAGCAGGGACTTCTACCTTCCTGACTGGTTCATTTGGTTTTTGTTTATGGTAAAAACAATTCAAAACACTATTATGGGTGGAGACTATTTGCTGTGCTAAGAGTTTATCATCAGTACACCGGGGTGCGGGGTGCCCAGTGCACTGTGGGGCACTTGTCAGGGGTACAGGGCCTGTGTTTGGGGGGTGCAGGGAGGACCTGAGAGCTTGGGCCAGGAGGGCTCCTAGGGGAGGGGCCAGACTGTGCACAGGCTCAGAGGGAGGGAAGGAGCAGGGTGGGCACTACATACCCATCAGGCAGAGGGCCACTCAGGACAAGTCAGTCTCAGGTGAGTGTGGCATGGATGGAGGGAACTTGCCTGGGTATTGGGGGTGGGATTCTAGTGACTGTCCACCCCGCAGTAATATCTGAAGTTCAGCACCTTAGATTGCAGTTAGCCCCAGAGATGGTCAATGGAGCCTGGAGGTAGGGGAGGAGTGGGAGCACCCAAAGGGAGGGATAGCTTCAAGGAATGACACCTATCACTGGTGGCAGAGAAGGGACTGCAAGCCCCCATGCCAGAGCACTGGGCAGGGCTGCAGGGAGCCTGGGTGTGCAGAGACCAGCAGCTGGGGAAGTTCATGATGGGCAGCTGTGCCCAGAGGCTGTGATGGACCAATGCCAGGTCCCCCTCCTTTACTGTGGGACTGTGGGTGACCTTGCCAAGAGCGATGGGACCAAGAGGCAGGAGCTGGGTAGAGCTGGGCAGAGGTGTGGATGGGGCCCTGGGTTTTAGACTCCATTGGGCCTCCCAGCCCCCGTCCCAGGACTTGTCCATCAAATCCCATGGTGGGCCCACACCAAGGTTCCTGATGGTGGGTGGGGGCTAAGAATTTGCTCTCCTAACAAGTCTGGGCTCCTGCTGCCACCCCAGGGACTAGCACTGTGAGAGTAGGAGATCACGCATGGGGACATTTGGTGAGGAGGAGGAAGACAACATGCTCCCGAGAGGAGAGTGGGGGGCGCGGGGCCATAATGGTTTACCAGGCAGGTGTGGAGTGGCCCAGAGGGTGGAAACCCATCTCTGCAGGGGGTGTGATTGTCCTCGGCCTCCTTGGGGTAGCTGGGCAGCCCCGCCACTCCCCGTTAGCATAGTGACCCTGCCTGCTGCCATCACAGAGTTCTGGCTCTGTGTCCAGGACTGGGTTTAGGCGTGCTTCCTGACCAGAGAAGGGGATAGGCTGGCAGCTGTATACTGAGCCGTGGAGAGTGCCAAGGCCAGGTGTGGTGCCTGCTCAGGGCTCTTGGTCGCCCCCCACACAAGCCCCCATGTGGAGCCCAGGCCCAGCTTCTGAGGGCCCCTGGAGGCTGAAAGTAGCTCTCAGGACCCAGAAGACAGTCAATGTGCCGCCCCTATGGCTTGCCAGAGTTTGCTTGTGCTGTCCAGCGCGCTCTGTTCTCAAGAACAGAATGTATGGAGGACAAGAGTACTGGTTCTAAAGCCAATAAGACTCCCCAGGAACTCTTAGGAATTCTCTAAGCTGAGGTTTCTTTCACAGAATTTGGGCAAGAAAAGCCCTGATGTCAAAGGCTTATCCCACATCAGCTCCTGTTGACTCAGAAAGCTCCAGCTCAAAAGTGCTACACAGACATCTGAGTGAGTCTGTCCTCAGGGCAGTGTCTGGTGATGGAGAGTCTCTAGGGCCCTCGGGCCAAGCCTCTCTGACCTCGTGACCCACGAGCAGCACTTTTCAATTCCACGGACATCTCTGGGAGTCTGGAAGTCAGTGAAGCCCATTACTGTCCAGAGGGGAGGCTGTACCCAAAGCTGCCCTCACCCCAGGCTCCTGTCCCACCTGGTGGACCGTGAGCACAGCCCCTTCACGGAAGGACCTTCTCCCTGGGTGCCCAGGAGGTCAATTGCTTCCCCTTGTTAGACAAGTGGCTGTCTTGTCAGCCTGTCAGTGCTCATTTGGATGAAGAGAAGAAGGCAGACTAACCAAGGAGTGAGGAGCGGCTCCCGCGGGGGCAGGAGATAAGCTCCCACTGGGAAAATATTTTTAATGCAGGAAGGAAAAGCACCCCACCCCCCGGCCTGTGGATGTTTGTTCTGGCCCCATTTGCCGAAATGGGTGGGCTGCACACAATGAGCTCCTTCCAGCTTCGGTTTTGAAGGTTCCAGATTCCACACACCTCAGCATTACAGTGTTTGAGAATTTACCAGTCTAGTATTCTTATTTTGCTGAGCAGCTTATGTTTCAGAGACCATTTACAACTGTGAAATACACAACTATGGCCTGGACAGAATCCCCTCCCATGGGGGGCAGGGCAGGGACAAAGGAACTGCTCTGGGGTGTCAGAGGAAGAATCGGGCCTGGCATTCAGGGTGGTCTTGGAGTATGTGAACACAGGGGCGGTTTCCTCTTGCCAGACCAAGGAGTCCATCTGTCCACCTGTCACCCAAGCCCAATCAATAGAAAAGTGATGAGAGATCAATAATTCCACTTTTATTTACAGAAAAGCCAGCAATTTTGGAGAACAGCGAGCACAGCTTGTCCTGGAGCTGCCCTGCTCTCCTGTTCCTTTTGTTACTTTTATACTCTCACAGTAAAGCAGCGTCAGCAGTGTTATTAATCATCACAGTATACATTAAACTGATCCCCCTCACAGGTTATACGGTGACATGATACCCCCCCATCGTAAAGTGGCTGTATCTTCAAAGCATTCCTACTCTAAATTCATACTTAGTTGGTCTGGACTTGGGGTGAGGGAGGAAGGGGCCGCAGATATTGTTGTTGGAGCAGTCAAAGGAGCAGGTATGATGGGGCTCCACAGAGGCCACGCAAGCTGGGATGCAGCTGACGTAAGTCTTGGTAGAATACCCTGTGATACTCCCAGAACAGGAGGTTTGTGAGTTGCTGTCACAGGCCCTGTCCCCAGCCTCCCATCCTCCTGGGAGGCTGCCCAAGCACCATGGTCCTCGGAGCATCCCATCTCTTAGCTTTATGACAGAAGGCCTTGTACACAAACAACTCCAGATGGTAGCACTGGACTCCGCTGGCCCGCCAGGGCCTGTCGAGCAGTGCCCTGTATGTAAGTTATTCAGGAGATCAATGGCCACCATAAATCCAGGAGGGGGGCACAGCATGGGCAGAGGCTCAGAGTGGGGGGCATAGGAGGCCAGTTGTGGGAGCTGTGGGTTCACCTCCAGAGTCACTAAAATAAGGTGACCAGATTTTAACATTGGTAAAGCAGGACACCATTGAAGGGGTGGGGCCTGGGGGGCGGGGCCTGACAGCAATGCAAACTTTGATAAGCAGTTCTCAATAATCAGTTCTCAACAATTATTTGTTATTATTAAAGTTTAACATTATAAAATTAACAAAAATAATATAAAATGCATATCCTGGCAAAATAGCCACATGGCAGCTGAAAACCCTATATTCCTTTCCTGTTCTCCCGTGTTCCCTAGCTTGTCATGCATTCTTTCCAAAAATCAAGGCTTTTTTAAAACGCCACAGGTCTCAGGACAAATTGTTAAAAAGCAGGAAGTCTGGTCACTTTACTGTGGGGGGGGGGTGCGCTACTTGTTTGTTCCGGACAGTTTGGCTCCTTCTGAGCTAATTGTCCTTGCCTAGAAGCAAGGGAGGGAGCTGGTCTCCTTCTGATACCTTGCCCAGGAGGGGAGTAGGGAATTTACATTAGCCTTTTCATTTCCAAATGAAGTTACATTAACCTCTTTATTCCCAAATGGAGTTACATTAACCTTTTCAGCAACCGTATATTCCCTTCCCATTCTCCTGCTGTTCCCTAGCTTGTCATGCATTCTTTCCAAAAATCGGAATTTTTTTTTAAAAACACCAAGGGATGCAGGACAAATTGTTAGAAATCAGGACTGTCCCTCCAAAAGCGGGACGTCTGGTCACCTTATACTAAAATCGTTCGGGTACACACTTTGTGACCTTGGATGTCAAGCTGGAGAGGTACCTCTGAAGATCTGGCCTTTGGATAGAATGACACGGCAGGGCTTTGGGAACTTTGATTTGGTGGTGGTGTGGCAGGTGGAAGGATACGTGGGCATGAACTAGGTGGCACGAGAAAAGAGATAGATGTGGCAGAGTACTGCCAGCCCAGGCCCCAAAAGTTACTGTTTCTGTGTTCAGAGGAATGGCCTTTACATCGTAAAATCTGTTAGCCAAGTGTCTTTAAAGATCCCCTCGAGCCCCTAGTCTAAAATCTTAACTCATATTTCCCATGATTGCTGTAATTGCCCCCAAACTCTTCATAAATCTAGTAGTAGATGGCCAACTTTACCCAGAATTGGGAAACTGACTACAGAATGGGCTGGAATTCCCATGCCAGGTGTCTGAGCCACCGAGCTTCTTAAAAGAAAAGAAGATGAGGGAAAGTTGGATTTTTGCCAAATGCCAATTGACTTATCAAGGATGACGACTGGTCAGAATAGCACTTATGTAGATCATTGAGTCCCAGGTGAGTGATACCTGCCTTGGAATGTCCAGGCAGGTGACACTTGTGGCCTGTCCTAATGACAGCCCTCACTCCTTCTTCTGCAGAGAGCTGTGTTTACAAGCTTTATTGCTGAACCCAAGTCTCAAATTAAATTCTATACTTCCTGCCCACCCTTTTCTACCGCCTTTATAGCTCATCAGAAATGCTGTGTGAATGGGACAGCTATTTTCCCCACAGCTTTAGTGTAGCGAGGTGGCTTTCGACATCAGGGAAGGCCAAATTTAAATTAAACCCCTGGCACCTTGCTTGCGAGAGGTGATGGATGCACTCCCAGGAGCCGTCTCTTCTCCAAACCAAGGCTGACCTGGAGCTAGAGGGAAGTGAGTGATGCTTCTGCAAACTAGGAAGCAAATCCAATTTCCTCATGACCTTGTCCCGCTGTACATTTGATTTCTCTTGTTTTATTTATATGTCCTTAGAACCAGAAGCTTTTTTTCTCTTTTTTTCTTTTTGTGTAGTAGATTTCTAAGTTACTCCCCACCCCAAACCCCAAATGAGAAAGTGAAAGAGAGGGTTGGCTATGGGAAGAGACACAGGGGATGAAACGGACCTTCGGGGCATTGTTCTTTTATTGGGATTTAGCAGAAGATTCTCAATAGTGATTTCCCAAATTGGTTATGGGCACGTAGAGATTTCAGTGAAAGAGAAGGTGAGTGCTGATGGTGATGGGAATTCTGCCTCCCTGGATTCCCGCCCCAGCAGATTGAGAGCACTAAGGAAGAAAACCAGTGTGTACAGTGTTACTCTAAAGCATCTGAGTGGGATCAGAGAGAGGCTCAGGCAGCTCTCGGTGTTCTCTCTGTCTCAGAAGCGCCTCACAAGCCCTACACCTCGTGGGCAGCTCACACTCTTTGTGTCAGTGTAAAGGCCGCAGCCCAGGCCCCTGCCCAGCACCAGCCAGGTTTGAAGAGGAGAGATGAAGGATACCAGCCATCTGATTGAAGTGGCGGGAGATGAGGGAGGCAGAAATGTAATTACCTGAGCTGGAATCAAACCAGCCACAGGGGCCCGTCTCACCTTGCACAGCCTCCTCAGGAGCTCATTATTTGCAAGCGCATCCCCAAAGCAATTCTGAGATAACAGGATCCAGAAATTGTTTCTGAGGTAGCAGAGCGGCACGTGGCAGTGCCCAGGTGTGACGTGTGCAGTGCTCACCTCATCCGAGCACGGCCTGCGCAGGGCCCCCGTGGCCCTCAGGCAGGGACAGCAGGCCTGGGTCTGGCAAGATGGAAACCGTGTCATGCACAGGGCAGGCAGGGCAGGACAGGGCGGACAGCAGAGGGGGCCTGGTCTCTCCCCTCAAGTTTCAAGGCCTCTCCATGCCTCCTCCTCCAGAAGAGGAGGCCATCAGGAGGAAGGCTACAGAAGCTCCACCACCATCAGCTCCACAGCCACCAGCTTCAGCAGGGCAGGGTGGCCTTGAGCAGTGTCCTCAGGGCTGCAAGGCCCACATTCAAACTAGCATAGCGCCCTACGTGGACGCTCAGGCAGGGAAGGCAGGCTTGCAAGCAGCCTCTCAACGCCTCCACAGGAGATGAAAGGGAAGAGACCAGGTGCCAGTGCTGGGGGCCATCAGGTCCCCCCTCAGGCCATGGCCATTTGTTAAATGCCCATTCTGTGTCCACACTGTGCTGGCAGAAGGCTCTGCAGGCCTTGGGGCCCTCTGTCCTTGTGGCCTACACTCTTCCTGGAGGGGAAGCTAAGAGGAGAGAGAGTGGCTGAGACAGGAGTATTGGAAATGAGGGCAGGGCTGTCCAAAGATCCGCAGTGACTCTGGGGACTCACATAGCCTTTGCTCATCCCAGGCAGTGTCCACGCATTTAAGGTGCAAAGCTCAGGGTGGTTCCATGGCCCTTTCCTGATTGCAAAAGGTCAGAGACATGGGCCTTGGCCTTGGCAAGGGCAGCATCAGTGCTCAGAGTTCTACCCTGCACGTGGGGAGGGAGGGGGGGCTGGAAGTGCACACCTCTCCACGCTTCTTCCCGGACAGGTCAGCCTGCTGTCTGGGCTGCTGTCTGTGCTCCCAGGTCCCCCTACGTCCCCTTGATGCTTTATGCTTCTTGCTGCAGGTTACAAGTTCAGATCAGCAGGTGGCCGAGTCCAGCTCTGGGGACCCAGATGCCACTGCTGGCTTCAGCACACCAGGTAATCTTACCCTTTCGCTATTTCACATAAGTCTCTATTTCTCGTGGATGTCTCTTTTCCTCCTCCCATTTCCTTCTCTTCTCTTGCTCCGCCTACTCTCCTCCCTCTGTTTCTCACTCTGTGAAGCGGTAGATTTCGCTACAGCCTTCCCTGTTCAGTACCAGAGGAATTCTCTGCAGTTCTTCCCTTACCTGCATCCAACCTGGGTGCCTGGAAGACCTCACACTTTCTCTGGGGGGTCTTTGTCATCTCACCCCAGGATCCCTCTTTGAGGGGTACAGCTTTGAAGAAGGGTGCGACCTCGTCTGGGTCCACCCTATCCAGATCAGTAGTTGTGTGTACCAGGCTACATCCCCTCGGTGCCTCCCACAGGTGGAAGAGGCTGGCTGGGGGAGGACAAAGGCTGGAAGTCACGTCCTCAAGGGCACTGAAGGGCAGGTGTGATGTGTTAGATTCCCAGACACAGAGTGCAGGAGCAGGACAGAGCTGGGGGTGCGGAAGGTACGGTGGTCCCAGTGGCCATAAAGCAGACAACCTTTGGTCGTGGAGGGAACAAGTGTGTTGTGTTTCCAGAGAGCCCTTCTTGAGGTCCGCAGGCGGTCTTGGGTGTGATGGTTTATTTGGAGACCAAAGTTGAGACCCTGCAAAGGACACAATTATAGTCCCAGGGCTCTCTGTCCTCTCCCCAGACATTCGGTTACCTTCTGAGAAAAATCGGAGGGGGCTGCCTCTGGGTCCCTGCGGTTGTGGGATTCAGAAGTGTTCTTGTCCTTCCTTTGGTCTCTCCAAGGAGCCACCAGAAACTGTCCGAGAGGTGGCATCCGGTGACCTGTGCTGTGTGCCCCAGTCCCCTGGCCCAGGACGACCTCACCAGCCTGCTGCATTCCAAGGTTTGGGCTGAGGGGGTCTCTAGCCTGGCCCCGTGTGTTGCGGAAACACGACTCCTAAAATCACATGTTCTTGAGGAAAACATGGCCGGAAAGGCAGAGCAGCCTGGCGCCTCCACAGCCCTTCCTGTTTGTCCTGCCTGGGCAGGGTGATGCTGGGAGACTGGGTGCCTCTCCAGAGGACGTCAGCTGAGCTGCCCCTCCTCCCTGCCCTGGACCTGGGCAGTTAACTCTGTAGCTGACCTGGAGACCCAGGGGGGCCTCCAAAACCCAGACCCCTGCCAGCTCCCGAGGGGTCAGGGATCTGTGGAGAAGTACTGATGGCGTCACAGGACCCTCAGTGCCAATTTGAAGGCTGCAGGCAGGTCTAGCTGTAGGAAAGTTGCCTTCATCAGGCAGTGGGATCAGAGGAGTGAGGCCGAGGTCCAGGCTCATTTCCTTGCCTACAAGTATCCAAGCAGGGGTGGGGAACCTACAGGATGGGGCCACGTGGCCTTCTGTATCTGTGAGTGCACACTTTGGACTGAAGTCAAGTTTTACAGAACAAATACTTTTAATAGAGGGATTTGTTCTGCAAAGTTTGGACTTGGGCAAGGGCCACACTTGGGGATCTGGAGGGCACGTGTGGCCTTGAGGCCCCAGGTTCCCACTCTGCACCGTCTAAATGTCTGATGCTTTTGCACCTTTGTCACACATCATTTGCCATCTCTGTGTGGGTCCATTTCTGGGTTCTGTGTTCTGCTCCGTTGACCCAGGGTCTGCCAGCGTCCCGCTGTCTCGGTGCTCCGGAGTCAGCCTCCACTCCCACAGGAGTGAGTCCCCCGCCGTCTTCTCCTTTTCAAGCTTGCTTTAGCTGTTCTAGGGTCTCTGCCTTCCCATATACATTTTAGAATCAGCTTATCTGTGTCTTGCAAAATCCTCACTGGGATTTTGATAAAAATTGCCTTAAACCTAGAGAGCAATTTGGAGGGAGCTGCCATCTCCTTCCACAGGGCCTTCAGACGCACAGCCAGAGTACGTCTCTCTGCTAAGGGGGGGTCTTTGATTTCTTTTGTCTCCGTTTTATATTTCTCAGATCCTGTGTGTTTTTTGAAGGGTACACTTAAGTGTGTCTTCTTCAGAGCAATTGTAAATTGGTATTGTTTTCCTTTCCTGTTTCTGGACATTTCATTGTTAGTGTGTGTGATCACCCACAGGGAGCAGCTGTGGTTTATTCTTGTGTGTTTGTCTTACTTCCAGCCACCTTACAGAAATCATTCATTCTAGAGGGATTTTCTTTGTTTGG